GTGAGACATAGTGAGAGAGAGCGAGGCATAGACAGTGAGAGAGAGTGAGGCATAGACAGTGAGAGAGTGAGACATAGTGAGAGAGAGCGAGGCATAGACAGTGAGAGAGCGAGGCATAGACAGTGAGAGAGAGCGAGGCATAGACAGTGAGAGAGCGAGGCATAGACAGTGAGAGAGAGCGAGGCATAGACAGTGAGAGAGTGAGGCATAGACAGTGAGAGAGAGCGAGGCATAGACAGTGAGAGAGCGAGGCATAGACAGTGAGAGAGAGTGAGGCATAGACAGTGAGAGAGAGCGAGGCATAGACAGTGAGAGAGAGCGAGGCATAGACAGTGAGAGAGTGAGACATAGTGAGAGAGAGTGAGGCATAGACAGTGAGAGAGTGAGACATAGTGAGAGAGAGTGAGGCATAGACAGTGAGAGAGAGTGAGGCATAGACAGTGAGAGAGTGAGACATAGTGAGAGAGAGCGAGGCATAGACAGTGAGAGAGCGAGGCATAGACAGTGAGAGAGCGAGGCATAGACAGTGAGAGAGCGAGGCATAGACAGTGAGAGAGAGCGAGGCATAGACAGTGAGAGAGAGCGAGGCATAGACAGTGAGAGAGAGCGAGGCATAGACAGTGAGAGAGTGAGACATAGTGAGAGAGAGCTAGGCATAGACAGTGAGAGAGAGTGAGGCATAGACAGTGAGAGAGTGAGACATAGTGAGAGAGAGCGAGGCATAGACAGTGAGAGAGCGAGGCATAGACAGTGAGAGAGAGCTAGGCATAGACAGTGAGAGAGCGAGTCATAGACAGTGAGAGAGAGCGAGGCATAGACAGTGAGAGAGTGAGGCATAGACAGTGAGAGAGAGCGAGGCATAGACAGTGAGAGAGAGAGGCATAGACAGTGAGAGAGAGTGAGGCATAGACAGTGAGAGAGAGCGAGGCATAGACAGTGAGAGAGAGCGAGGCATAGACAGTGAGAGAGCGAGGCTTAGACAGTGAGAGAGAGTGAGGGATAGACAGTGAGAGAGCGAGGCATAGACAGTGAGAGAGAGCGAGGCATAGACAGTGAGAGAGTGAGACATAGTGAGAGAGAGTGAGGCATAGACAGTGAGAGAGAGCGAGGCATAGACAGTGAGAGAGAGCGAGGCATAGACAGTGAGAGAGTGAGACATAGTGAGAGAGAGAGAGGCAGAGACAGTGAGAGAGCGAGGCATAGACAGTGAGAGAGAGCGAGGCATAGACAGTGAGAGAGCGAGGCATAGACAGTGAGAGAGAGGCATAGACAGTGAGAGAGCGAGGCATAGACAGTGAGAGAGAGCGAGGCATAGACAGTGAGAGAGAGAGAGGCATAGACAGTGAGAGAGAGAGTGAGGCATAGACAGTGAGAGAGAGGCATAGACAGTGAGAGAGCGAGGCATAGACAGTGAGAGAGAGCGAGGCATAGACAGTGAGAGAGAGCGAGGCATAGACAGTGAGAGAGTGAGACATAGACAGTGAGAGAGAGCGAGGCATAGACAGTAAGAGAGAGCGAGGCAAAGACAGAGAGAGAGAGAGAGGCATAGACAGTGAGAGAGAGAGAGGCATAGACAGTGAGAGAGAGCGAGGCATAGACAGTGAGAGAGAGCGAGGCATAGACAGTGAGAGAGAGTGAGGCATTGACAGTGAGAGAGCGAGGCATAGACAGTGAGAGAGAGCGAGGCATAGACAGTGAGAGAGAGCGAGGCATAGACAGTGAGAGAGAGTGAGGCATAGACAGTGAGAGAGCGAGGCATAGACAGTGAGAGAGTGAGACATAGTGAGAGAGAGTGAGACATAGTGAGAGAGAGTGAGGCATAGACAGTGAGAGAGAGCGAGACATAGACAGTGAGAGAGAGCGAGACATAGACAGTGAGAGAGAGCGAAACACAGAAATAAAGCATTAAAGTAAGACATTGATCAATAAAGTAATATAATAAAGCAAGTTAATATAAGACTTTACCAACGTCCAAAGGCACCAATGCTCCTCCTACCATGTAAGATACACGTATTAATTATAATTCCGGCCCTGCATATATATATTTATTTGTTACGGAAAGATAAAGAGACATTCAAACAAAGAAAAACACAGATAGCTCAAGTCAGTAGTCATAAACACAGGTGACAAACACGGCCAAAATATCCAAACAATGAAAACAAGTACATTGTTCACGCCCCCCTTGAAACAAGCACAGTGACCCCCCCCCTATAAGACATATATAAGCAGTGAACACACTTAGAACTACTTAAGAAGTACTTAAGTGTCGCTAAGAACCAGGGGCCAGATTCACGAAAGCACTTACGCAAGCACTTACGAACGTGTACATCTTTCCTCAATCTTTGACGGCTTTGGTTACATTTATTAAACAGTTTACAAGCATGAAAACTTCCCATTCAACTGTTGTTATTGTTATAAACAGCCTCCTGGTGTTTTGGAGCTCATTAACTGTTTAATAATTGTAAACAAAGCCGCCAAAGATTGAGAAAAGATGCACAGGTTCGTAAGTGTTTGCGTAAGTGCTTTCGTGAATCTGGCCCCAGGTGACTAAGAATTGCAGGAACTACATAGGGAGGGTAGAATTGGGGATTGGGTGGGGATTGTGAGGTGGGGGGGATTGGGTAGAGGGGAGGAGCTGTGAGGGGCGGGGGGGGGGGTTAAACTGGGAGGGGGAGGAAAGGAAGGCATGAGGGAAATGGAATAGGGAAAGGTTATAATGGGAGAGTGAAAGGCTAGGGTGGAGGGATTATGAAGGTGGGATGGGAGTAGGATGGGGGAGAGGGAGGTGGTGGGGGGGGGGTGAGGGAGAGGGAGAGGGGGTTTAAAATTATTGACGCTGGTGCTGCCATCTGGCGTGATGAGGAGGTGCGCGCCACCTGCCTCACCTGTCTCCCTCACAGGTGCTCCTTCACCTCCACCCTCTTCCCTCCCTCTCTCTCACTCCCACTCTCACACTCCCACTCTCACACTCCCACTCTCTCACTCCCTCTCCTCACTCCCACTCTCACACTCCCACTCTCACACTCCCACTCTCACTCCCTCTCCTCAGTCCCACTCTCACTCCCACTCTCACACCCACCCTCTTCCCTCCCTCTCTCTCTCACACCCACTCTCACACTCCCACTCTCACACCCACCCTCTTCCCTCCCACTCTCTCTCACACCCACTCTCTCTCACTCCCACTCTCACACCCACCCTCTTCCATCCCACTCTCTCTCACTCCCACTCTCTCTCACACCCACTCTCACACTCTCACTCCCACTCTCACACCCACCCTCTTCCCTCCCTCTCTCTCTCACACCCACTCTCACACCCACCCTCTTCCCTCCCTCTCTCTCACACCCACTCTCACACTCCCACTCTCACACCCACCCTCTTCCCTCCCACTCTCTCTCACTCCCACTCTCTCTCACACCCACTCTCACACTCCCACTCTCACTCCCACTCTCACACCCACCCTCTTCCCTCCCTCTCTCTCTCACACCCACCCTCTTCCCTCCCTCTCTCTCTCACACTCCCACTCTCACACCCACCCTCTTCCCTCCCTCTCTCTCTCACACCCACCCACTCTCTCTCACTCCCACTCTCTCTCACACCCACTCTCACACTCCCACTCTCACTCCCACTCTCACACCCACCCTCTTCCCTCCCTCTCTCTCTCACACCCACTCTCACTCCCACTCTCACACCCACCCTCTTCCTTCCCTCTCTCTCTCACACCCACTCTCACACTCCCACTCTCACACTCACCCTCTTCCCTCCCACTCTCTCTCACTCCCACTCTCACACTCCCACTCTCTCTCACACCCACTCTCACACTCCCACTCTCACTCCCACTCTCACACCCACCCTCTTCCCTCCCTCTCTCTCTCACACCCACCCTCTTCCCTCCCTCTCTCTCACACTCCCACTCTCTCACTCCCACTCTCACACCCACCCTCTTCCCTCCCTCTCTCACACCCACTCTCACACTCCCACTCTCACTCCCATTCTCACACCCACCCCTCTTCCCTCACACCCACTCTCTCTCACACCCACTCTCACACTCCCACTCTCACACTCCCACTCTCACACTCCCACTCTCACACTCCCACTCTCACACTCCCACTCTCACACCCACCCTCTTCCCTCCCACTCTCTCTCACACCCACTCTCACACTCCCACTCTCACTCCCACTCTCACACCCACCCTCTTCCCTCCCTCCCTCTCTCTCTCACACCCACTCTCACACCCAGCCTCTTCCCTCCCTCTCTCTCTCACACCCACTCTCACACTCCCACTCTCACACCCACCCTCTTCCCTCCCACTCTCTCTCACACCCACTCTCACACTCCCACTCTCACGCTCCCACTCTCACACCCACCCTCTTCCCTCCCACTCTCTCTCACACCCACTCTCACACTCCCACTCTCACACCCACCCTCTTCCCTCCCTCTCTCTCTCACACCCACTCTCACACCCACCCTCTTCCCTCCCACTCTCTCTCACACCCACTCTCACACTCCCACTCTCACACCCACCGTCTCTTTTACTCCCACTGTTTCAAATATTTTCAATAATGAGTAGGACAGGATCTATGAATATGATATCCGGTTAACCGAGTCTAACCTCTTATGTCAGTAATATATGTGTGTGTGTGTGTGTGTACTCACCTAGTTGTGTTTGCGGGGGTTGAGCTCTGGCTCTTTGGTCCCGCCTCTCAACCGTCAATCAACAGGTGTGTGTGTGTGTGTGTGTGCGTATTGCGTGTGCGTATCTCGTGTGTTTAATATCACTATTGGCTGGAAGAATGGAAGAGGACCCCATAGCCTCGGAGAAAAGCACACACAAGGCATTAGAGGGTATTCTTAGTGGTCCCCCCCCCCCCCTCCAGATAACCAATAAATAATACCGTCACACCACTACACCATTCACAACACAGTGGGCGGCGTCGCAGACAACACACACACTCACGAAGACATTGTATACACCACTGATGTGTTTTGTTTATTTTGATTAGGCGTAAGCGCTCTGTAGCAGACGGTGACGAGGAACTTGTCGAAGCTGTTGATGGCGGCCAGGTCCTTCTCCAGGTGACACAAGCCCCTGACGAAGTCCCTGAAGTCCCTGACGAGGTCCCTCAAGTCCCTGACGAGGTGGACGAAGACTGCGATCTGGATACTGAGGTTAAACGCATCGCACAAATCAACCAAATCGCTGACGATGTTATCAGAGAAGGCGGTCAGAATGAGGTCATTGAAGAAGGCAGTGGCACGGCCAGTGAAGATAGAATTGGTGGACCTGATGGGATAGTCATCTCGCGACGCAGGTGAGGGGGTTCCTAGCCATCACTGTTTCACATTTAGGCCGTATCAGAGATCTTGTTTCAATTTTAACCATATTAAATATCTGAATTATTGCCTATCAGTTCCTGATTTCCTTATTATTTCTTTTTAATTGGGCGTTTTGTCTCATTCTGTAAATTCAGCACATGATATTCTGTATATATGTTGCTTGTCCTCTCTGTATATAGGGGTCTTTCTCTTTCCCGTCTGTTTATAGGGCTCCTTTCCTTTCTCCGTCTGTTTATAGGGCTCCTTTCCTTTCTCCGTCTGTTTATAGGGCTCCTTTCCTTTCTCCGTCTGTTTATAGGGCTCCTTTCCTTTCCCCGTCTGTTTATAGGGCTCCTTTCCTTTCCCCGTCTGTTTATAGGGCTCCTTTCCTTTCTCCGTCTGTTTATAGGGCTCCTTTCCTTTCTCCGTCTGTTTATAGGGCTTCTTTCCCTTCCCCGTCTGTTTATAGAGTTCTTTTCCCCTTATCTTCCCCTCCTACAGTTTAAGGTGATAAGAGTTCACATATGAAGGTTCAGCTTTGTGCTAAGAACCAACTGTCCCAAGTGTTCATACAGGTGTGTCCGTCCAAGCCTGCGAGCAACACCTTCCTTTCATTCCTGATTATTAAAAGCTCTGAAATTCCTTTATCTTACCTCCCTACATCCGTGTGTGTGTGTGTGTGTGTGTGTGTGTGTGTGTGTGAGCTGTGTACACCGTCTGGGCTCCACCTCCACAGGAAGCGAGACACGGACCTGACCAGTAGTTACGGCGGGGTGGTGATCGTCTCCCCCTTCAGGACAGTCACCAAGACGGTGGTGGATAAGGGCGTCCTCTTCCGGACCAACGGCACCACCTCTCTCTGCTCCTGCACTCCAGGTTAGTGGGTGTACCCCTGGCTAGTGTGTGGGTGGGTGGGCGGTGAGCGGGTAATACTGTAGATGTAGTCAACGTTGACCCTTAACCATCTGTCTGTCCGGCAATAACCAATGTACTGTCAGTTATCAGTTAGTGTCTTCATTATACCTTTACCAAAATCGTGGCCCTAGAGCTGAAGCCCTCGAGCAACGATAGTGTTACCTAATTGGAATTCTATATTAACTAAACCCTGCCTGAGTAAAATAAAGCTAATAATGTATTTAGGGAGCCGGTCGGTCGAGCGGACAGCACGCTGGGCACGTGATCCTGTGGTCCTGGGTTCGATTCCAGGCGCCGCCGAGAAACAATGGACAGAGTTTCTTTCACCCTATGCCACTGTTACCTAGCAGTAAAATAGGTACTTGGGTGTTAGTCAGCTGTCACGGGCTGCTTCCTGGGGGTGGAGGCCTGGTCGAGGACCGGGCCGCGGGGACACTAAAAAGCCCCGAAATTGACTCAAGATAACCTCAAGATAACCTATTTCATGAGCCTCGTGACTGACCCCAAAAGTCTTATTACGCGTCACGGTAGACTTATGTTTGATACACCTGCCGATACCTGTATTGTTCTTGTGGTGTACTGGGTCACGTGCTGCTCCTGGGTCACGTGCTGCTCCTGGGTCACGTGCTGCTCCTGGGTCACGTGCTGCTCCTGGGTCACGTGCTGCTCCTGGGTCACGTGCTGCTCCTGGGTCACGTGCTGCTCCTGGGTCACGTGCTGCTCCCGGCGCCTGCTGCTGTGCTGTGGTCATCGCTGTTGTTGTGATCCACACACGGGAGCCGGTGGCCGAGCGGACAGCACGCTGGGCACGTGATCCTGTGGTCCTGGGTTCGATTCCGGGTGCCGGTGAGAAACGATGGGCAGAGTTTCTTTCGTTCTATGCCCCTGTTACCTAGCAGGAAATAGGTACCTGGGAGTTAGTCAGCTGTCACGGGCTGCTTCCTGGGTTGTGTGTGTGTGGAAAAAAAGGTAGTAGTAGTAGAAAGAGTTGATTGACAGTTGAGAGACGAGTTGAAAGAGCAGAGCTCAACCCCCGCAAGCACAACTAAGTGAATACACACACACACACACACACACACACACACACACACACACACACACACACACACACACACACACACACACACACACACACACACACACACACACACACGCACGCACACACACACCGGCACGCAGTGGAAACTGAGTGCCCAAATGAGCCACAGAGATATTCGAAAGAACTTTTTTAGTGTCAGAGTGGTTGATAAATGGAATGCATTAGGAAGTGATGTGTTGGAGGCTGACTCCATACACAGTTTCAAGTGTAGATATGATAGAGCCCAATAGGCGCAGGAACCTGTACACCTGTTGATTGACGGTTGAGAAGCGGGACCAAAGAGCCAGAGCTCAAACCCCGCAAGCACAATTAGGTGAGTACACACACACATACACACACACAAATCAGGCAAGAAAGAGAGGGGTTGGCAGACTGTATATTTTTGGATTGCCAGAAAGCCTTTGATACAGTGCCATACAAGAGGATAGTGAAAAGGCTTGAGTGAAAGGGAAGGTACTCCGTTGGATAAGGGAGTACCTAAGCAACAGAAGACAACGAGTCAGTGTGAGGGGTGAGGCCTCAGATTGGCGAGACGTTACAAGTGGAGTCCCGCAGGGTTCAGTCCTTGGACCTATACTGTTTCTAATATATGTAACTGATCTCCCAGAAGGTATAGACTCGTTTCTCGCAATGTTTGCTGACGATGCAAAAATTATGAAGAAGATTGAAACAGAAGAAGATAGTATCAAGGCTACAAGATGACCTAGACAGACTGAGTGAATGGGCCAACAAATGGCAACTGAAGTTTAACCCGTATAAATGCAAGATAATGAAACTAGGCAGTGGAAACAGGAGGACAGACAGGATACCAAATGAGAGATGAAGTCCTTCACGAAACGGACAGAGAGAAAGATCTAGGAGTTGATATCACACCAAACCTGTCTCCTGAAGCCCACATAAAAAGAATTACATCGGCGGAGTATGCGAGGCTGGCTAACATCAGAACAGCCTTTAGGAACCTGCGTTAGGAATCATTCAGAACCTTGTATACCACATATATAAGAACAATCCGCATATGTAACTCAATCCTGGCATGAGTTACAAGGAAAGGCTGCGTGAAATGCACCTCACGACATTGGAAGACAGAAAAGTAAAGGAAGACATGATCACTACCTACAAAATTCTCAGAGGAATTGACAGGGTAGATAAGGATAAACTGTTTAACACGGGTGGTACGCGAACAAGGGGACACAGGTGGAAACTGAGGCTCAGTGGACAGCGCTCTGGGATTGTTGTTGTGATTGGTGCATCTGTTCACTTAGCAGTAAATAGGTACCTTGGAGTTAGACAGCTGCTACGGGCTGCTTCCTGGAGATGTGTGGGTGTGTGTGTGCGTGTGTAAGAGAAATATATGTATTAGACATAATAGAGGAAAAATAAATTGGTTGGAAAGGCGGGGTCCAAGAGCTAATAGCTCGATTCTGCAGATACAAATAGTAAATATATATACACACACACACACACACACATACACATACACATACACATACACAAAGGTTCGAATTCTATGACCAGATGACAAAGATTATGCAAGAAAGAGCATGGTGTAAGACTGCATTTTCTTGGACTGTCGGAAAGCTTTTGACACAGTACCCCATAAGAGGTTGGTACATAAGTTGAAGAAACAGGCAGGAGAAACTGGAAAGGTGCTCCAGTGGATAATGGAGTACCTAAGCAATAGGAAGCAGAGAGATACAGTGAGGGGTGAGACCTCAGATTGGCGTGAAGTCACCAGTGGAGTCCCACAGGGCTCTGTACTCGGACCTATCCTGTTTCTGATATACGTAAATGATCTCCCAGAGGATATAGACTCATTCCTCTCAATGTTTGCTGACGACGCCAAAATTATGAGAAGGGATAAGACAGAGGAAGACAGCTTGAGGCTTCAAGAAGTCCTGGACAAGCTACAGGAATGGTCGAACAAATGGATGTTAGAGTTTAATCCAAGCAAATGTAATGTAATGAAGATAGGTGTAGGTAGCAGGAGACCAGATACAAGGTATCATTTGGGAGATGAAATACTTCAAGAGTCAGAGAGAAACACCTGGGGATTGATATCACGCCAGACCTGTCCCATGAAGCCCATATCAAGAGGATAACATCAGCGGCATATGCCAGGTTGGTCATCACGAGAACTGCCTTTAGAAACTTGTGTAAGGAATCATTTAGAACTTCGTATACCACACATGTCAGACCAGTCCTGGAGTATGCAGCTCCAGCGTGGAGTCCGTGGAGTCCACGAGAGCAGTACCTGAACTGATGGGTATGAGCTACGAGAAATAAAGACTACGGGAACTAAACCTCACGTCGCTTGAAGACAGAAGAGTTACGGGAGACATGATCACCACATACAAGATTCTCAGAGGAATTCATAGAGTAGCTAAATACACTATTTAATACAGGTGGTACAGGCACTAGGGGACACAGGTGGAAACTGAGTACCCACATGAGCCAAAGAGATGTTAAAAAGAATTTCTTCGGTGTCGAGTATTTAATAAAAGGATTGCACTAGGCAGTGATGTGGTGGAGGCTGAGTCCACACTCAGTTTCAAATGTTGATATGATAGAGCCCAATAGGCTCAGGAATCTGTACACCTGTTGATTGACGGTTGAGAGGCGGGTCCAAAGAGCCGAAGGTGAAACCCTGCCAGGACAGCTAGGTGAGTACACACACACACACACACACACACACACACACACACACACACACACACACACACACACACACACACACACACACACACACACACACACACACACACACACACACACACACACACACACACACACACACACACACACACACACACACACACACACACACACACACACACACACACACACACACACACACACACACACACACACACACACACACACACACACACACACACACACACACACACACACACACACACACACACACACACACACACACACACACGAGTGCCTACATTAACACACTTCCACCACCGCATATTTTCCTCCGGTGAACGATATTAAGCGATACCTTTTTTTAAACTCGCTCACACCTAATGGTAATTTCAACGAATTTGTAAATAATCGTTTCATTTTCCATAATGGAGCGACGGAAACTTTGCCTCGTTACCCGAGATCTATTCTAAGCTTAACTGCCCTACTAACTACCTCTAAATATAGAGCCCCGAGAGTGTTGTTTACACTTGACATTATACACTCACTTTTTAAGGCTGGTTAGTACCTGTTTGGCCTGTAATTACCTCCACTGCTCCAGTAACGAGGCAGTTCCTTTTAACAACCAGGGAATTATGATTTTATTGTCCGCCATTTGGCAAGGTAAGGTAATTAAGGCAGGTGAATGATCTCTCAGAGGGTATAGACTCATTCCTCTCAATGTTTGCTGACGACGCCAAAATTATGAGGAGGGATAAGACAGAGGAAGACAGCTTGAGGCTTCAAGAAGTCCTGGACAAGCTACAGGAATGGTCGAACAAATGGTTGTTATAGTTTAACCCAAGCAAATGCAATGTAATGAAGATAGGTGCCACCTAGTTGTGACGAGAACTCGTAGGATGAGTCTGTGTTGATTATGATGATTTGGGGGGGGGGTGTTGATCTTTGATGGTTGTTAGAGCCACCACAGGTGTTGATGTGTGCCACCACAGGTGTTGGTGTTCCACCACAGGTGTTGGGGTGACACCACAGGTGTTGATGTGTGCCACCACAGGTGTTGGTGTGTGTCACCACAGGTGTTGGTGTGTGTCACCACAGGTGTTGGTGTGTCACCACAGGTGTTGGTGTGTCACCACAGGTGTTGGTGTGTCACCACAGGTGTTGGTGTGTGTCACCACAGGTGTTGGTGTGTGTCACCACAGGTGTTGGT